GGGGGGGGGGGGCGGGAGATGGAGGCGGATAGCGGAGGACAAGCGCGGCGGGGCCCGTCTGCCAAGACGATCCGGCCGATGGATCGGCTGCCCGAGAGAAGCAAACCCGGGGGCACGCGAGCCTGGTCGGGGCAGGGGCATCGCCGGGCGAGTGCCTGAGAGGGGCGAGTGGGGGCATTACCTGGCTGGAAGCCCACGTCTGTTTGTCCGTCCAGTCCTTGTGGTTGCGCACGTACCACCACTGGATCTCCAGCGAGTAGGAGGGGGAGCCGCTGCCCCGGAAGGAGCAGGCCATCTCCACGTCCTCCCCGGCGTGGGCCGTCATGTCGTGCGGGGTCTCTGTGAACAGGGCTGCGGGGCACAGAGCGGAGAGCCGGACGCGGTTAGGGGGCGCAGGGCCCGGCCCCACCTGCCCTGCCCCGCTCTCCGCACGCTCGCCCCAGACAGCCCCGCCGCCCGGGGCTGGGGCAGGGAGCAGCCCGCTCCGGCCCCCACCACTTCTGCTCCAGGCCTGCCCTGAGCGTGGCCTTCACGCGTGGCCCAGCCCAGGGACACGGGCCATGCACCCCCTTCCCAGCTCGCCCGCCCCCAGGAGCCACCCTGCTGCAACCGGGCCCAGAGTGCTGCTCGCCCTGATCCCGAGCTGGGGGCTCCTTTTGCACCCCCCCTGCATCGCATCGCATTGCATCGCATTGCATCGCAGCCCTGGGGAGCGGAGCCAGCTCCAGCCTCACATCCGCACCCATCCTGCGGGCTCCCAGGGGGAGACGATGCCATGCTGCAAAGGGGAGCAGAGGGGCCTTGGGGTCAGCGGGTCCCCATCTCGGAGCGGGACCCTGCCCCTGCCCCTGCCGCCCCCTGTCATGGCCTCCACCAAGGAAGCACCAGCCCGTCCCTGCCTGCATCAAAGCCCAAACGAAAAGCAAGTCCTCGCTGGCTGCGGCCCCCGCGCGCCATATGGCCGGCTCGCCACTCCCGACACAAACGTCGCGCGGAGACGTCGTTAGGATTCTTTCCGTCTCCTCCGGAGAGACGGCGGCTCCGCGGCAGCGACGGGTCGCTGGGGAGATGTCGCCACCGCCAGCGAACACCGGCTCTCCGGGGCGTCACCACCCGCAGGCGCGGGGCCTCCGGGGGCCTCGCACAGGCAGCCGTCCCGCCAGGGCCCAGGGAACGGGGCCTGGAGCATCCCGGGGCTCCTGCTGCCTTTGCCCCCCGTGCCGCACGCCGCGAGCTAGGACACGAGAGGCAATGCTTGCAGCTCCGCGCCCCGGCACCGTCCCCTGCCACCGAGGCAGCACATCTCTGGCTCGAGGGCTCGGCCGTGGCCTGCACCTCGAATCCACCTGCCCACGCGAGGCTGCAAAGCCAGGCCCCTCCGGTGTCCCATGCCACCCCCTGCCCCAGGGGTGCCCGGCTGAGCCCTGATCCGGTCTGAGAACTGCCTCATTATCAGCCTAGACAGAAGAGTTAATGCCTTTAATATCTCCCCGTCCCTCTGGAGCCCGGGAAATCCCATATACTTATCGCTTGCCTTTAATCCTTCCTCGCAGGGGAGCTGAGGAAATGCAGCATCCGGGGCTTAGCCGGCCTCCCTGTCCCCCTGCGGGGCACCGGGAACGACCGGGGCTCTGGGCCCTGCAGGAAGGTGCCCCACGCTCCACACCAGCCCCCCCCGGGGCCCGCACCTGCCCGAGGCCTGGGAGAAGCACGTTCCCCGCACGCCGGTGGGAGGACGGGATGTGCTGGGCAAACACATGGCAAACGTCCGTGTTCCTGGTCCTGATACATCAGTGCTGGGGCCATTACTTAGGAACAATTAAACACTGATTGCACTCACACCCTCAGCTCGCTGCCTAGGGGGGAGACCGGCCCCCAGGTCCTGACAGCTCGCTCTCGCGGTCACGGAGAGCACGACCAGCTGCTTCCCTTCCTGCAGCCGCTGGGCACCCGAACTGGGTGCAGGGGGCACTGTGCAGCCCCCCACGCCGATCTGCCGTGCGCTTTAATCCTCGCTGCAGCTGCAGCGCCTGCCCTGCCAGTGCGGGGCCTCCATCCAGCCCCACGTCCACCGCTTCCATTCCTGCCAGCCCCCAAGGGCTTTGCAAATGCTCTCCCCCTGGGCCTGCAAGACCTGCCGATACCCCTCAGCCCCCATGTCCAGGGCTGTGCAATGTGGAAAAGGTGCTGGAAGCTCTTGGAAGGAGCCTAGCGCTGCTGGGTATCGATGAGGCGGGATGGGAGGCCTCCAGAGGCAACAGCCTGGTGCATGAAGCCCGGCGTCACGTGCTGTCGGCTGGTAGAGCTCAGAGTCCCTCGTGGAGCGGGGTCTGCAGCGTGGAGGTCCCTGTCTCCCCGGGGCAGGAGCTGGGTGCAGAGAGGAGGAGAGAAACCGGGCACCGCCGGTCCCTGGCCAGGAGGGACCAGTCCCCGCAGGCCCCTCGTCTCTGCTCCTCGTGACAGATGCATCCACGTTGCACAGGCTGGACTGGGGCTGTCAAACGTCGCGCAACGCAGCCTCCGGAGCCTGCCCCCGGGCTCGGCTTTCCTGGCGGACTGGAAGGAGCAGGCGCGGCGCTGGGTCGATGGAGGCCTCGCGCCCACGTCTAAATTCCCAGGAATACAATTAAAAGCGGCTCCCACGGACTGCGATTTGGCAGAGAAAGGGCTTGATTGAACCGAGCATCTTCTTTCTTTCAGGCTTTAATTGGGCAGTGCTTGTATTAATTAACCCCGGGGCTCGGCCTTCTCCTCCTGCAGCCGCACGGAGGCTGGTCCAGCAGGAGCCACCCGCCGAAGCTTGTGCCTCGTTCACTACCATGGCGAAGGCCCCCGGACGCTGCCCGGCGCCGCTCCAGCCCTGGCCGCGGGGCTCGCTCACTCAAAGAGCCCAGCTGTGTCCAGCTGTTGCCCAAGCAGCTGGAAGGGCTCCAGGCAGCACCGTGGAGGCTGGGCATCGCCAGCGCCCGCAGCAGCACCGCGCCAGGCCTGCTCCCCAAGCATCCCGAACACCGGGATTATGCCGCGGGGGCCCAGCCGAGACCTTGTAAGAGACTGGTCAGAAACTCACAAGGTGAAAGGTGGTGGAGGGCTTAACGGGCAGGTAAATCATGGCTGGCGGGGAGGAGGCATGGCGGAGCAGTCCTTTCCCCCTCGACTCCCTTGTCTCCCTCTCCTACGGGGACGATGGCATCAGATACCCAGTGATGTCAGCTCAGGGTGGCCACTCGGACAGCAGAAACGGGCAGCTCTGGGCAGCCGGAAGGGCCTGAGCTGGCCAAGAGGCTTGGGCTCTTGACACCGATTCCCACCCGGTGCCACCCATGCCGGGACAGGCCCCACCAGCAGGATATCCTCCCCGATAGTGGGTCTGCCGGAGGAGGCAGCTCACGCCCAGTGGCTGCAAAGCTGGAAGAGGCTCTCCCCTTCCTTTCATGGAGAACAACGCGCAGGGGAGCAGGGAGTGCGCCCCAGCGCCGGCCAGAAGCACCCCGCACCCCCTGCCCGCGCCCCAGCAAACAGCCCACAGCAAAGGGACCGAGCCAGGCCAGGGCCACGCACAGCTGCGACTGAAGCCGTCACGTGGCCCTGGGTTGGCACAGATCCCCGAGGACGGCTCCACCCGGCTCCCGTCGCATCCAGCCCGACAGCGAGAGCGCGGGTCCGACTGACAGACGGACGGGCCGATACCAAGCGCGACGTGGCTGCGAGTGAAGGGAGGGCGGCATGGGCCCCCGGCACGAGATGAGGGACGCGCCGATGGACAGCGAGGGCCGTTATCTCCGCGGCCTCCCCCGAAGCCGGCGGGGCAGGGAGTGCGAGGCTGATGCAAAGTGGCGGCGAGGCCATCAGGCAGAGGCGGGGGTGCGGGCGCGCGAGGACACCGCTGACAGTCGCGCTCCCTCTGGGGCGGCACCGCAGGGGAGCAGCCCAAACCCAAGCGGCATTGCCCGGACGCTCGGAGACACCCTGGGGTCAGCTCCAGCCTCGGAGGTGGCGTGCCCCGACCTCCAGGGAGAGGAGCTAGGCTGCCCGGCAGCAGCGAGGAGGGACGTGCAGCCAGAGCTCCCTAACCCTAACCCTAACCCTGGGGGCCGCCGGACAGGCCGCGGCTCCCAACTCGGGCCAAGGAGTCGCCAGCCATGTGCAGGGCTCAGCACACAAGATGCGCGCGCAGGGGCTGATGCAAACCTGCCCTCTCATGCGCCTCTGGGGCTGCACCGGGCCGCCTGGCGCATGCAGCGAGGCAGACGGGCATGGGCACCTCCCTTCCAGGGACCCGAGTCGCAGGCCCCGGGCTCAGCCCTCTCCGGCCTGGCAGTACTCTCCAAGGTTTGGAGTCCTTCCTCCCAACCTCTTCCAGCCGGCAGGTTTGCAAATTATGTGCTGCTTCTGTCTTCAGCCGCTGGCGGTGCAATTGGTCACCGAAATCACAGGAAGTCACCCCCAGCTGCTCACGGGGAAGCAGCACAAGCCCTGCAGCACAAAGAGCCCGGGCTGAGCACCCGTGACCTGGCCGGGGGAGCGGAGGGGTCTGCCTGGGTAGCAGGACGCCCCTCGCTGCAGGAGGAGCCGAAAGCCCAAGGGCTCGTGGAAGATGCTGGTCTTCCCAGGCAGGCGCCCGGGGCCCGGTCCGTGCCTGTGAGCAGGGCTTGACCACCACACACGCACCAAGGACCGGGGCTTGGCGCCCTGCAGCTGCCACGATGAAGAGGGATGGCAGTTTGAGCTATCGGGTGATGACCCCATGGTCAGCGTGCGTCTTAAAGTTGGCAGCCGGCTGCCGCGCTCCCAAACGGCCCGTGCAAGTGATGGAGAGGCCGGGGACCCGCCGGAGGCCGGGCACAAAAGAGGAATAGCGTCGGCACCGGCGGAAGAGGAGAGCGGCCGTGGCAAGCGTGGTGCAGAGCAGGAGCGAAGCGGCGCTGGCTCTTCCGCCCCGACGGCCCTGCCGGGGGGACCTGCTGGGCCCCCACCCCAGGACAGCAGGGCAGGGAGGAGCGCGAGCTGCTGGCCAGCCCACGGTGCCAGGCCACTGCCCGTGACCCCGAGCTCCCAGGCAGGGTTTGAGCACGCAGACAGGCACAGGCATGTCCCACAGGGGCTGCGGGGCAAGGACAGGCCCTGGATCTTCCTCTGGGGGGGACGGCGCGGGGTCCTGCCTCCTCAGACAGGGCCCTGACCACTGTGGGAGACGCCTGCGTAGGGCACGGCCCTTTGCACCGCAGCGCCACGGGACTGCGGACGGGGTCCGAGTCTGCACGGCCGAGTCTCCTTCAGCCCCCAGCTGTGGGACGAGGCTCCTGCCACGGCTCCGGCCTTGCCCCGGGCTCTGCTCCCAGGTGCCACGT